ACACTTAAATGAAAAAAAAAGAAGCCCGAGCTCTGATGGCTTCATTGATGAATTCTACCAAACATTTAGAGAAAAATTAATGTCAATTTTTCACAAATTCTTCCAAAAATATAAAGGGAGAGAACAAGCACTTCCCAACTCTTCTTATGAGGACAGTATACCAAAACCAGACAAAGACATCACAAGAAAAAAAAATAATAATGTAATAAAACTAAAAGGAAAAATAGACAAATCCACAATTTTAAAGATTTCAACATCCCTGTCTGAAAAACTGATAGAAAAATTAAACAGAAAGAAGACAAAAATATAAAATAACTCACATCACCAACTAATGGAACATAACAGACATTTACTTACTGAACACTCCCCACTAAGGGAGCAGAATACATATTCATTTCAAGTGCCCACAAAACATATCTCAAGATAGACCATATCCTGGGCCATAAAAACAAACCTTAACAAATGTAAAAGAATTATAAATCATGCAAAGTGTGTTATCAAACTACAGTGGAGTTGAACTAGAAATTAATAATAACAGAAACTGAACTTGAAATCAGTAACAGAAATAAAAGGAAATTTCTAAGCATTTAAAAGCTAAACACACTTTTTATAGGTTAGAGAAGAATACTCAAGGGAAGTTTTCAAAACACACTGAACTTAATGAAAATGAAAAAACAACATCAAAATTTGTGTGACACAGCAAAGCTGCACTGAATCCAATATTTATGGCATTAAATGCCTGCATTAGAAAAGAGGAAAAGTTGCAAACCATTCACACTCATACCTCATGATCCCAGAAATAAGAGCAAAATAAATTCAAAACAAGCAGAAGGAATAAAATAATAGCAAATATCAATGAAATTAAGAAGAGAAAAACAAAAATCAATAAAACAGAGCTGTTCTTTGAAAAGGTCAATAAATTTAATAAATCTCTGGCAATAATGACAAAGTAAAGCAGATGCAAATTATCAATACCCAGAATAAAATGAGATATCCTGACAAACACTGCAGACATCAAAAGAATAATAATAATAAGCTAACATCATATTCAATGGGGGAAAACTGAGAGCTTTTCCTCTAAGGTCAGGAACAAGATAAGGATACCCACCCTTACCACTTTTATTCAACATAGTACTAGAAATCCTAGCCACAACAATCAGACAACAAAAAGAAATAAAAGACATCCAAATTGGTAAGGAAAACTTTCAGATGACATGATACTGTATATAGAAAATCCTAGAGACTCCAACAAAACACTACTAGAACTGATAAATGAATTCAGTAAAGTCGAAGGATTCAGAATCAATATATAGAAATCTGTTGTATTTCTATACACTGATAATGAAGTAGCAGAAAGAGAAAATAAGAAAACTGCACCAAAAAAAATAAAATAACTAGAAATTTAACCAAGGAGGTGAAAGACCTATACTATAAAAACTATAAAACACTGATAAAAGAAATTGAAGATGACACAAAGAAATGGAAAGGCATGCCATGCTCATGGATAAGAAGAACCAATATTGTTAAAATGTCCATACCACCCGAAGTAATCTACAGATTTAATGCAATTTCTATCAAAATACCAAAAGCATTTTTCACAGAACTAGAATAAATAATACTAAAATTTCTGTGGAACCACAAAAGACCCCAAATAGCCAAAGCAATCTTGAAAAAGAAGAACAAAGCTAGAGTATCACAATTCCAGATTTCAAGATATACTACAAAGCTGTAGTAATCCAGAGTATGGTACTGGCACAAAAACAGACACATAGATCAACAGAACAGAGAGTCCAGAAATAAACCCATGATTATATGGTCAACTAATCTATGACAAAGGAGGCAAGAATATACAATGGGGAGTAGAAAGTCCCTTCAACAAATGGTAATGGTAAAACTGGACACCTACATTCAAAAGAATGAAACTGAACCACTTTCTTTCACCACACACAAAAATAAACTCAAAATGGATTAAAAAAACTAAATGTGAGACCTGAAACCATGAAATTCCTAGAAGAGAACATAGGCAGTAATTTCTTTGACACTGGCTGTAGAAACATTTTTCTAGATATATTTCCTCAGGCAAGGAAAACAAAAGCAAAATTAAACTATTGAGACTACATCAAAATAAAAAGCTTTTGCACAGCGAAGGAAACAAAACAAAAAGACAACCTACTGAATGGGAGAGGATATTTGCTAAGGGATTAATATCCAAACTATATAAATATTTGAGGGGTTAATATTAAAAATATATAAAGAACTTATAAAACCCAATACCAAAAAACAAATAATGCAATTTAAAAATGGACAGAGGACCTGAGTAAACATTTTTCCAAAAAAGATACAGAGATGGGCAAGAGACACATGAAAAGATGCTCAGCATCACTCACCATCAGGGAAATGTAAATCAAAACCACAATGAGATATCACCTCACACCTGTCAGAATGGCTAAAATCAAACACAAGAAATAACAAGTTTTGGGGCATTTGGGTGGCTCAGTCGGTTAAGCGTCTGCCTTTGGATGGGGTCATGGTTTGGGGTCCTGGGAGTCCGGCGTCAGGCTCCCTGCTCAGCGGGAGGGTCTACTTCTTCCTCTCCCTCTGCCTGCCGCTCCCCCTGCTTGTGCTCTCTCTCTGCCAATTAAATAAATAAAATCTTAAAAAAAAAGAAAAGAAATAACAGGTTTTGACAAGTATGTGAAGAAAAAGGAACACTTGTGCACTGTTGGTAGAAATGCAAACTGGTACAGCCACTGTGGAAAACAGTATGGAAGTTCCTCAAAAAATTAAAAAGAGAATTACAATATGATCCAGTAATCCTACTACTGGGTATTTATCCAAAGAAAACAAAAACACTAATTCAAAAAGATACATGTAGCCCTATGATTACTGCTGCATTACTTATAATAGGCAAGATATGGAAGCAACCCGTGTCCATCAAAAGATGAATGGATAAAGATATAAATATATGTATATAGAGATATAGATATAGATATGTGTTTATACACAATTGAATATTATTCAGCCATAAAAAAGAATGAGATCTTGACATTTGCAATAACATGGATGGACCTAGAGGATATAATGCTAAGTGAAATGAGTCAGAGAAAGACAAATACCATATGATTTCACTTATATGTGGAGTTCAAAAAACAAAATAAACAATAAGACAAATGAAAAAAACCAGACTCTCAAATACAGAGAAAAACTAGTAGTTGTCAGTGGTGAGGTAGGTGGGAGGATGGGTGAAATAGATAAAGGAGATTCAGAGTTCACTTATTCTGATGAGCAGTGAATAAGGTATATAATTGTTGAATCATTATATTGTATACCTGAAACTACTATAACAATGTATGTTAATTATACTTCAATACAAAAAAAGAAGGGAATACTATTAACTCTACACACATAAATTTGACAACTTAGATAAAATGAACTAATTCCTTAAAAAACTACCACAACTCACCAGATATGAAATAGATCATTTACATAGCCCTACAAATATTAAGGTATTTGAACTCATGATTTAAAAATCCAAAAAAAGAAATTTGTACACCCAGATAGTTTTACTGGAACATTCTACCAAACATTTAAAGAATTAACACTAATTTTACACAATCTCTCCCAGAAAACAGAAGAGGAAGGATCAATATTTTTAAATTATAGTTGACCTTTGAACAACACAGGGGGTAGGGGCACTGACACCCCCACCACCACTATGCAGCTAAAAATCTGCATATAACTTTTGGCTCCCCAAAATCTTAACTAGTATTGACCAGAAGCCTTACTGATAACGTAAACAGTTAACACATATTATGTATATTATGTGTATTATAGGCTGTATTCTTACAATAAAGTAAACTAGAAAAAATAAAGTGTTATTAAGAACATAGGGAACAGGAAATATATTTACAATACTATACTATATTTATCAACAAAAATTCATGTATAAATGGACCCACACAGTTCAAATCCCTGTAGTGCAAGGATAACTGCAGTATTACTCTGACACCAAAATCAGACAAAGATAGTACATAGAAAGAAAACTAACACCAGTAACTCTCATGAATATAGACAAAGAAATCTTGAACAAACATTAGCAAAATAAATCCAGGATTATATAAAAGGAATTGTATACCCAGTGCAATTTGTTCTGGGTATGTAAAAAGCTGGTTTAACATCTAGAAATTAATCAGTATAATCCACCATATCAACATGATAAAAAAAATCACATGATCATAAAAGTTGACACAGAACAGCATTTACTCTTCTTCTCTTCCCTTCTAGCCAAAACCTGCCCATTGGTGTGACCTGTCACAAGAAATGTATTTACTTGTTCCCATCATTGTTTACCAGGGTCCCCGGTCTTGGTCAAGACTCTTAGTCCACATACAGAGGTTTATCTTAAATCCAAATCCTGTCAGGCTCCTCATGCAAATTGGTTTCTCTTTCTCTGAATAACCAGTTCAGCATACCAAGGGGTGAGGAGTTTATGTTAAACTACCAGATAAAACTGTCTAGTCACATCCTAATTTCTCAACAATGTGACACACGTTTGGAAAATCAAAAGGATTATTCAAGTTTAGAGACACAGATAATCATATCTGCATTTGAAAAACAACATAAAAGAAACAATTTTGTAAACTCTATTAGAAATTCTGAACTTGGACATTTAAAAGACCAAATTTAAAATTCAACAGATATGCTAAGAGGGAGCTTCATGATTGAGAGGAGAAAAAAATGTTTGCATAATTTCAGCTTTTGTGCACTTTCACTGAGCTAACTCTATTCAGATTATACTTAGGAAAACCTCCCTCAAGGAAATGGACAATCTGAGTTTCCAGGCACTGGGTAAAATAATAGCCTAATTATTAAAAAAAAAAAAAGCTCAGGACCCAACCTCTTGGTTAACCAGTGACCTGTAGAATGTTGACCTTTCCACAGCGAAAGGTGTCACCAGAATCCCTCCTTTCTCAACACATTCATTTGTGGCGAAGAGAACACCAATACAGGCAGCATGAGTACTATAGGGAAAGTAAGTACAGCCTTCTTTATATTGTGTCATGATTGTGTCCACTTCTGTACTTATTTACCTACACCTCATCACCCAAACGGTATCTATATTCCTAAAACTGGGAGATGATCTTGATCTCAGTACCTCTCCTTCTCCTTTCCCTTTTATTTTATGCCTTTTAAGCACTTGCCTTTCTTCATTTTTTCATTTCTTCAGTAAGCAATATAGCAAGCCCTATATCAAACTTTCCAGAGTCAAAGACATCCCCTCTTTCCATGATCTGAGAGAGAGTAATTATAAAAGAATCATTATAAAAGAGTGTGCAAGGGTAGAAAAAGAGAGAAGGACAAAGTGCTCCTAACCTAGCTTTGCTTCCCAGAGAAGGTGACACCTAAGAGGAAACTTACTGAAGAATTCGCCAGGTACAGGAGGAGAGAGTTGTGCAGGCAGATAAAACATGAGGAGATACATAGAAGCAAGAAATATATCCCATATAAGAATTTCCAGAATATTTTCTTGTGCTTGGAGAGTAAAATCTAAGACAGGAAATGACCAGAAGTAAGGAAGGAAGAGAGATAAAGTAAGGCTACTTCCCAGGTTTCTTTCTTAGGTAAATGAATAGGTTACATGGCCACTCATTGAAACCGAGAATGCAGAGGGAGGAATAGGTTGTATGTTGTGTCTACCACTGGTTGGGGGAGGGGAAGGAAAGAGGAAGGGGAAAAGGGGACAGGAGAAAGGAAAAAGAAATAATGTATTCATGTTTTGTTGTTGTTGCTGTTGTTATTTTTTAAAGATTTATTTATTTCTTTGTGGGGGGAAGCGGAGGGAGAGGGAGAATCTCAAGTGGACTCTGCACTGAGCGTGGAGCCTGACGCAGGGCTTGATCCCAGGACCCTGAGATCATGCCCTGAGCTGAAATCAAGAGTCGGACGCTCAACCAAGTGAGCCACCCAGGCATCCCTAATGTGTTCATGTTTACATGTTGAGTATGAGGTATCTACAGGACAAATAGGAGATGAATAAGTAAGTCTAAAGCTTAGGGACAAGTTTATCCATAGATACAGATTGTGAAAGTCATCTCCAAAAGGGTAGTGGTGAATCTATAAAAAGAAAGGTAAGACAACATGGGAAGAGGATTTATAGTAAGTACAGGAGTGGGCTGAAATGAGAACCCCTAAAAACTACCTGGCCACCAACAACTTTTCCAACCTTAGTCTGCCAGTGACCACCACCATTTGATGAATTACCACAACTATAATGGTCTCTATTCCCTGCTCCATAACTTACCCCTCTACCCTAAAACTGATTATCTCCCATACCTAGGAACACATACAACTTCCACAATGCAAATGCCATCCTCATGCTGAAACAGCCACTGGACAACTTCATTCATGATAATACCAAAAATATTGGTATTATCTACCGCCTTGTTGTATAGCATTATATAATTATAGTTAGTATTGTAAAAATAACTTGAATACAGAAACTGATAGCACAAGAAAAGTTGAATTGGTATTTAGAAGCTATATACACCATATATTTAAGCAATGATTTTTTTTTTCTGGCTTGAGTGTAGAACTGAACTAAACCTTCTAATAATCATTAATATAGGAATTCTCCATCTCTTCGGCCTAAGGAGTTTCCCTTTCTGCCCCCATATTCTATTTCCCAGGTTATTAGGTGCAGAGCAGCCATACTCTGGAAGCCTGGTGTACAATTTTCCATCGAGGAGGTAGAAGTGGCCCCACCAAAGGCAAAGGAAGTTCGCATAAAGGTAAAAAAAAAAAAATTCATATTTCCAGACCAAAAATCAAAGCTGTTCACTGTAAATTATACTTTTCACAATGCTCAACTCAGAAAGAAAATTAGATACTCTGCTATTTCTTTTTCATTTCCATCAGTCTTTTAATCCAGCCACACAAAAGATTAGGGAGATATAGCATAGGCTAAATGCCCAAAGGATACTTATTTACAGCTGTAATACTAATTACTAATTAAAAAAAGAAGTTTCTACCCATAAACCATATTTTATGATGAATACAACTATAAAGCCCCCCTGTGAAATAAATTAAGGCTTCAATTATAAAGGAGACATCCCTTGCTTTTCTGTGCTCCAATTCTTTCATTTCTATCATGGGTCTTTCTTCTCCACACTCCTACCCACAAGCTTCAATGAAGGACGAGACCTCTGATTTACACTACGGTTTTACAGCTGTCTTTTCTGAACCCATGTAAGTCTTAAAACATCAGTTTGATTCTGAAATTAGCTAATGTAAACCACTGAATTGCTTTAAACAAATTATTATTGGCCCCTGTCTACAATTAAATAAGTAAATGCATTAATATTAATGCAGTGTATCAAACTCGTAAAAAGGTTTAAAAGATTAACAATTCCTCTCTTCCCCTACGATCCTCTGCCCTGTTTCTTAAATTCCACATATCAGTGATATCATATGATAACTGTCTCTCTGATTGACTTATTTCACTTAGCGTAATACCCTCTAGTTCCATCCATGTGATTGCAAATGGCAAGATTTCATTTTTTTTGATGGCCAAGTAATATTCCTGTGTGTGTGTGTGTGTGTGTGTGTGTGTGTGTGTGTATATATACCACATCTTCTTTATCCATACATCTGTCAATGGACATCCAGGCTCCTTCCATAGTCTGGTTATTGTGGACATTCCTGCTATAAACATTGGGGTGCACGTGCCCCTTTGGATCACTACATTTCTATCTTTGGGATAAATACCCAGTAGTGCAATTGCTGGATCGTATGGGAGCTCTATTTTCAACTTCTTGTGGAACCTCCATACCATTTTCCAGAGTGGCTGCACCAGCCTGCATTCCCACCAATAGTGTAAGAGGGTTCCCCTTTTTCTGCATCTTCGCCAACATCTGCTGTTTCCTGGCTTGTTCATTTTAGCCATTCTGACTGGTGTGAGGTAGTATCTCATTGTGGTTTTGATTTTTATTTCCCTGATTTTGATTTGGAGGGGAGGGGGAGTGGGAGGATGGGGTAAGTGGGTGATGGACATTGGGAAGGATATATGTTGTAATGAGCACTGGGGATTATGTAAGATTGATGAATCACAGACCTGTACCCCTGAAACAAATAATACATTATGTTAATTAATTGAATTTAAATAAAAAAAATAAAAAGGATTAACAGTTCTGAAACACCTTTATTTAAGACAGAGAAAACCATGTTACTCTTTGCCTTCCATACAGATTGTGGCCACAGGGCTCTGTGGTTCAGAGATGAAAATGTTGGAGAATGAAACCTCTCACTACCATTATCCTATCATTATGGGCCATGAAGCAGCTGGAATAGTTGAGAGTGTGGGAGAAGGAGTGAGCACAGTGAAAACAGGTATGAGTTAGCACCTGGAGGTAGGAAACTGCAGCAACTTGGAATCCACATCAGGAAGATATGGTCGATATATACAATGGAATATTATGCAGCCGTCAAAAGGAATGAGATCTTGCCATTTGCAACAACGTGGATGGAACTGGAGGGTATTATGCTGAGCGAAATAAGTCAATCAGAGAAAGACATGTAT